CACTGGTGGACTGGCTGATGACATCTGATTTTATCACTGATCAATGACTGTTACGTAAGATGTTAGCGTTTGGGGAAGCTGGTGTAAGGGCATATGGAAATTCTTTGTGCTAATTTTGCAACTTTTTTAAGTGTGAAATTCTTCAAAATGAACAGTTAAAAATAAGCTTTTTCTAAGTGGTTGTTAGTTGATCATTAGCAAAGCTCGGTGATGGGACCTAGGAGTTCATTATTCTACTCTCTCTCTCTCCTTGCATAGGTACTCGAAATGTTCAGTGATAAAAAGTTAAAATGAGAAGTTTCAGAGACAAAACCACCACATAAAAGATATGGACCCTGTCTGGATTTGATTCAAAAATATCAACATGAAAGAATATTTCTGAGACAACCAGAGAAATTTAAATTCGATTATTGGATAATACTGAGGAATCACTGTTGATTTTGTAGGTAGATTTTTTCCCATTGTGATAAAAAAAAAAACCCACAAAATTTACCAACGTAAGCATTTAAAGCGTACAAATCAGTGGCATTAAGTACATTCCCAATGTTGTATGACCGTCATCCCTGTCCAGGTCCAAACGTTTTTATCACCCCAAAGGGAGACTGTCTCCAGCAGCAGCCCGTCCCCACTCCCCCTCCCCCAGCCTCGGGAACCACTCATCTGTTTTGTATCTCTGATTTGCCTATTCGGGACACCTCATATAAACGCCATATAACATGTAAAATGTGGCCTTTTGTGTCTGGCTGCCTTCACTCACCATGATGTTTTCTAGGTACATCCACAGTGTAGCATTTATCAGCATTTTGTTCTTTTTATAGCTGAAATATTCCATCGTGTGAATAGACCACATTTTGTTGATCCATGCATGTGCTGATGAACGTTTGCATTATTTCTGCTTTTTGGCTGTTGTGAACAGTGCTGCTATGAATATTCATGTATAAGTTTTTGTTTGAACACCTGTTTTCAATCGTTCTGGATGCAGTTGTAGGAGTGGAATTGCTGGGTCATATGGTGCTTCTGTTTACCTCATCCAGAAGCTGTTTTCCAGAGTGGTTGGCTCCATTTCACATCTGGCCAGTGTCCCCACATGAGGGTTCCAATTTCTCCACATCCTTGCCAATGCTGGCCATCTTCCATTGTTTTTGTTTTTTAAAGTTATTATGGATAGGGGCGCCTGAGTGGCTTAGTCTGCCTTTGGCTCAGGTCATGATCCTGGGGTCCTGGGATCGAGTCCCACATCGGGCTCCTTGCTCAGTGGGGAGCCTGCTTCTCCCTCTGCCCCTCCCCCCTGCTTGTGCTCTCTGTCAAATAAATAAATAACCTTTTAAAAACATTATTATGGATGACCATCCAAGTGGGTGTGAGGTGGGATTTCACTGTAGTTTTGATCTGCATTTATTTCCCTAATGACTAATGACACTGAGTATCTTTTTGTGTGCTTTTTGGCCATTGTTAGGTGTATTAACATACTACAGTTACCTCAAAAATACCCATCTTTTTTGGAAAGACGTACTACAACATGAAAGGATACAATAACAACAAATCTGGGATTTTAAATACAACAGCAAGGGGCGCCTGGGTGGCTCTGATGGTTAAGCATCTGCCTTCGGCTCAGATCATGATCCCAGGGGCCTGGGATCAAGCCCCACATCAGGCTCCCTGCTCGATGCAGAGCCTGCTTCTCCCTCTCCCACTCCCCCTGCTTGTGCTCTCTGGCTCTATCTATTCTCTGTCAAATAAGTAAAAAAACTCTTCAAAATACCATCAACTTTTAAAAAAATAAAAAATAAATACAATAGCAAAAAAAAAAAACCAAGTTAAAAAAGAAAAAGGAAAAAGAAGGGAATGTGGCAAAATCTTTTAATTGTTAAATCTGAGTGACGGATATATGGGGAGAATCCCTCTGAAATATGCCACAGTAAAAAAGAAATTCTGGGGCGCCTGGGTGGCTCAGTTGGTTAAGCGACTGCCTTCGGCTCAGGTCATGATCCTGGAGTCCCGGGATCGAGTCCCGCCTCGGGCTCCCTGCTCGGCGGGGAGTCTGCTTCTCCCTCTGACCCTCTTCCCTCTCGTGCTCTCTATCTCTCATTCTCTCTCTCTCAAATAAATAAATAAAATCTTAAAAAAAAAAAGAAAGAAAGAAAGAAATTCTGCCCTAGGAAACAAAGTCGTGAAAACCCAAGGTCGTTAAGCCTGTGGTCTTTGTTCACTCAAAACACAAGCCTCTCCTCTCCTACCAGGCTCACAAGGCATTTCCTGGGTTCTTCCTGGGGACCCCTGACTCCCTGTGCCCTGACATTCACAGATGTCAAGGAGGCTTGGGGGCAGAGGTTCTAGACTTCCGGGGCGGACGGCCAGCCTTTTCCATGCATCGTGAAACACCAGTGCTCTCTACAGGAACACGTGGGAAATTCGGATCCAACAAGAAGGGAGCACCACAGTGATCCTGGGGGTACTCGCCTCACCACAGGGTGCTGACAATGTCCCCAGCGTCATGTCCAAAACAGACATCAGGGCAGCCTTGGCCGGCTGCAGACATGTGCCCACTGTCTTTTCAACAACGCTCTCCATAAACCACCTGCTGCTGGGGACCAACTCCACACCCCCTGGGAAATGGGGGGCACTGTGGACATCAAAATCGTAAGTGCTTTTTTTTTGGCCATCTGTCTCAAAAACAGTCATCCTGTAAGGGTGGCAAGACACATGATTTTATTCTTACATATTTGAATCTTGCTACATATTGTCTTTTCAATGAACTTTTTTTTTTTTATGGAAAAGAGTCCTCTTATTTTATCATTACTAACGTAAGCATTTGATGTCAAAGAGACGAAGGTAGTTTTATAAACTCAGAATGTTTGCAAGGACATAAAATTTCCATTTTATCGTGGTTTTCTGCCACACTAGCTCAAATGCTCTTGTCTACAAGCACCCCCGCATGGCCTCTTCGGAGCTATTTCAGTCAGCCTCAACATGGGACTCTGCCCCATACGCTGAGTCTAGAATAAACATATTAAATTGTAATTATTCACTTTTCGCTGGATGGGGTAAGAAATAAAGTCATCGGGTGATGGGACAGTCATCAGGTAGGATTGTTAATTTCCAAGGAGAAACCTGGTTGAAATGTTTCTTCTGATACAGTAGTTACAAATTAGAGTTTTCGAAAAAAAGGGGCAGAACAAAAGTGTGATGAAAGAAATTTCTGCAGCTGAGGCCTCCCACAGCCCTAAATCTCTGAGAGCAGCCAGGCAGAGCACCTTTCCTGCAAATTAAGTGGGTTTCCAGGATTTCCATGTGGTTGAGCTCTCAGAGATATACACTCAAGACGTATCATTAATCTATACATCATCTCAGCTCTGGTTGTCTTTTTCTTTAAGATTTTGTTTATACCAAAAAAAAAAAAAGATTTTGTTTCATTACTTGACAGAGAGAGAGAGAGGGAGGGAGGGAGTACAAGCAGGGAGGCAGGCAAAGGGAGAAGCAGACTCCCAGCGGAGCAGGGAGCCTGATGTGGGGCTCGATCCCAGGACCCCGGGATCATGACCTGAGCCGAAGGCAGACACTGAACTGACTAGGCCACCCAGGCGCCCCCGTGGCTCTGGTTGCCTTAATTGTACCGGCAGAGTGAGATGGCCATCCAAGTCCAAAGGCAGAGGAGGAACACACACATGGCTATGGTCATGGGCAGGGACCGACTAGAAAAGCCCAGGCTGGCTGGGCTAGTGCAGCCTCATGTGAGCTTTTCTTCCACGGAGGCAGAACCGAACAGTCCTGCCAAAGAGACCGACGGAACAGGACAGTCAACGTAGGAAGAGGCAGAGATACTCTTCTCCCCCACATCTTCCCTGCCACTCGGACTCTTTAAAAGGTAAGTGGTATTAAGAAAATTCAGCTGTGGGACGCCTGGGTGGCTCAACTGGTTAAGCGTCTGCCTTCACCTCGGGTCATGGTCCCAGGGTCCTGGGATCGAGCCCCACATCGGGCTCCCTGCTCCGCGGGGAATCGGCTTCTCCCTCTGCCTTCCCTGCTGCTCATGCTGCACACTCTCTCACGTTGTCTCTCTCTCAAATAAGTAAGATGGAAGGAAGGAGGGAAGGAAGGAGGGAAGGAAGGAAGGAAGGAAAGGAAAGAAAGAAAATTCAGTTGTGTGCTGTCTTCCATGATGCTCTAGAGCTGCTCCATTTCTTCTTGCTTCTGATGTTGCCGTGTCATCCTAGCCGCCTGTGGTACCATATGAGGAATCCCGTCAATAATGGGCTGGGCTCTTCCCGATTCTTCATTCTTCAGTTCACTGGTCGACGTTTCACATCTGAGCCGCTTCTCAGAGGGCAGGCGCACCAGGAACTCGAGCAGCGCCTGGTGGAAGGCGCAGGGCGGGTCCCCTGCCCTCTTGCTCTTGACTGCTGACCTCCGCCACCCGGACGCGTGAAGGCACCTCCGGGCCACCGCGGGCGACGGCCTGTACCCAGCAGCACTGAGGCGAGCAGGGTCTGGCAGCCCACGACCCTCGGCCAGCCCCCCACGCCTGCCGCCCATCCCCGGGCTGCCCACCCCTCGCCTCTTCTGCGAACTATTTTTAACACGTTGGTAGGGCTGGTCAATTCTTATCCTTCCAGAGAAGAAGCAGAAGTCACTTAGAAACGGCCACCGGCCTTTGTGTCTTCCTCTTATGCTGAAACTAATTTAACCGCTTGAAAGCACTCAGTGGGCCTCCTCTGTGGTCCTTCTCCCCCTTCCCAGTAAAATCAGCTCTCGTGGGCGGAAGGGCCCACGCCCGGCTGCCCAGCCGACCTCCACAGGCTGCCCGAGCCCTCTCAGCCCATGCTCCAGGCCGTCCCTGACAGAGCGGCTTACACACACACACACACACACACACACACACACACACTCACACACACTCCCCTGAGAGACCACCCTACCTCGTGGACAGAGCGGCTTCCACACACACACACACACACACACACACACACACACACACACACTCCCCTGAGAGACCACCCTACCTCGTGGGCTTCCACCCCCATCTCCTTCAGGGCCAACTGGAAGTACTCAGGAGAAGGTTTCCCCACCACTTCGGCTTCGATTCCACAGGCATACTGGGAAAAGAGAGAAGGACACAGCACGGGTTGAGGATGAAGCCACAGGCGAATACTCCTCCGAAGGCCTCCCTCTGGGGAATCAACGGAAGAGCGCCCCAAATGTGCACCCACGGGCCAGGGGCCTCTGAGAGGCAGAACACTTGGGCTGAGAGACACATCTCAGAGGCAAGAGCATCAGGATGCTCAGGGCACCCCCACCACGTCCCCTGACATCTGCTCAAAAACCTGAGCACAGCAGGAGGTGGGCCACCACCCCACCCCACCCCGACCTTGGCTGGTGCTCTCATTTGCGTACTTGCTTCTCCACTGCCCCCAACTCTGTCACAGGCCCTCCAGGGGAAAAGGTCCAGGGCTCTATCTGTCAGTCTGCCCAGCCCTCCCACCTGAGTGCAGGTAGGCAGGAGACTACGTAGCAATGAGGATGGCAGGTCAGCTGACCTGGGGCGGCCGAGCAGGCATGGGTCAGAGTGGGCGCTGGGGAGCCCCATCTGAGCCCGGCCCTGGAAACTGGAGGACGGAGTCCCATTAGGACACATCAAGCTCATGAGCAGATGTTGCAGATGAGCAGGGTCAGGGATGAGGCAGGTGGCCCGCACAGAGACGGGAGCCGAGAGTCGGAGAGGACAGCGGCAGTGAGCAGGCTGGAGGCCAGCCGGGTCCACAGCAGGAGGGCTAGGGTGTGGGGAGGAACAGGAGAGACAGGAGAGCAGAGTGACAACCAGGGCGGCTAGGGGCCATGCTCTGGAGCAGAGGGGGGGCGCTCAGCTTGAAGCCCCGAATAGGAGGCCCTACTTTGGAAACAGAAGAGGCGATTCAGACATGGAATACACCCCCTTCTCCGGAAAGGCCAGAAACATCCCAGACAGCCCTGAGATCTGAAGAAGGCTCAGACAGACTCAGGGCAGGTACCTCGAGCGCCTTCATGTAGGCACCAACGTCCAGCATCAGGCCCGAGGTCTCCTTGTAGTAGCGTCTACAAAAGAGCAGGAGGGGACAAGATGAGCTGAGCCCAGGAGCTGTGCCAAGAGAAACTGCCCTATCCTGGTTCTGCCAGCTCTGGAGAGCAGAGCCACGGGTGAGGGTCAGTCCAGATGCCACGCTGGGAACGACCGACGGAGGTCGGCACAACAGAGCCCAGCGGTGGGTCACCGTGCCCGGGCGGGAAGGACAGTGGGCCAGCAGCTCTCAGTCCCAGTGGCCCCCTGCTGCCAGCCTTATGGGGACCCCAGGGGCAGACGGATCCTGTCACCAACAGAAAGACAAGTGGCCTATGTTCTGGGAAAGGACAGAAGGTCCACAGAGCATGTGGTGACCCCCTACCTGCTAATAATTAACCCTTAATTGCTGCCCGAAGAAGAAAACTCCATTAGTTCCACGGCACCCTGCAGCATCTCCGATTAGCCAGAGGTCGAGGTGCCAGGTTTCAGGGGCGCCAGCTGCTTTTATGAGAGGACAACTCTCTCTTCCCTGTCTCACTGGAGACCGCCCCTGCTCGGCTCGTGGGAGTGTGCCTTTCTGAGGACGGTTTTGTGACTGCCGTGAGAGTTGCACTGGCCCTGGCCTCCACCGTCTGGCCCACCCCAGGCCACGCAGACCCCTCGGGACACGTGGTGGACCGAGCCCGGTTCCCTCGGAGCAAAGCCATTCGACTATAAAGAGGGGCAAAGGTAGTTTAATCTGTGCCGCTCAAAAGACAGGGTTAATGGGAGCCCAGGACTGTTAAAATGTTTTGAGACCCATCACGTCAGGTGTCCTCTCTTTCCCATGCCCTTTGAGTCGGAGAGACATTGAATAACGCGTACGCAGAGACCCCAAGAGAAGAAGAGTGAAGCACGCTGACTCCAGGGCCCAAATCCAAGCTCTACTTCTTTTTAACTGTGAGACTTTGGGTTGCTGAAGTCCTCTGGGCCTCAGTTTCCTAATCTGTAAAATGGGGGGGCAGGGGCCCCACTGCCAACCTCATGGATTGTTGCGAGGCTCAAACAAAATAATGCATGCAAAGTTCTTAACATGACGTCTCGCATGCAGACACCACTCAAAAAATATTAGAAAATATTATTATTCTGTTTATCCGGACCAGGCTACAGGCAGCAAACTATGAGCTGGGCCAGAAAGGATGAACACAAGTCTTTCCCGTCGGTGGGAGTCGCAACCTGCTCTGTGCCTACTGAAATGTCGGAACTGAGCTTCCCAGGAGCTGCTTCAGGGCTGTCGTCTTTCTTCCAGCTCTGCGCACCCAGGAGTCCTGCCTGCTCACCTGGGCCCCACCTGAGGCCCTGAAGGCTGCAGGAGCCTGGCCTCCCGCCCACACTCACCCAGCACTCAGCGTTCTCTGGCTCCATGCAGGCCGGCCTGCAAGGCTTTTAGAATCAACCAGCAGCACCCTGCTGAGGACCCTATGGGCCAGACGATGCTGCTTCGCCCTCTGTGTGAGGACTGCTGTGGGAGGGGAAGAAGCGGGCAGTGGGAGCCCAGAAGGGACAGGAGGGGGACCAGGGAGGGCCTCCCTGAGGAACGGACATGTCAAGGTGAGCCAGGGACAAAGGACAGAGGTGGGGAGAGAATGTGGCCAGCACAAGAGAGGCTGACCCAGAAGCCAAAGGACAAATTAAAAACACCACCACCTTGGTGCCACAGGCACAGCTCTGTGTGGAGTTGAGGATTCTGGGGGCCTCTGGCCAGTGCCCCTGGGCCGACTGGAGCTGGGTGTACCGCCCTTTGGAAAAACCTCCCGAGGACACCTCCACGGCGCAACATCTGCCTGGCCCATACTCCCCAGAGTCTTTCTTCCCAAGTGACAGGAACCTGGACTTTCTGAAGTTTAAATTTAGTCCCGATGGAAGGAAAAACCTGAGCATGCAGCTTAAAATACACAATCAAAACCTTGTCTTTGTTATACTCATGTTTAGAGCCTAAAGAAAAAACTGACTTCCATAAATCAAAATTAGAAACCTTAAAATTTCTTTTTTAACTGAATCTGGGTTTGTTTGTACAGTATCCAGAATTTCTCTTTATTCCTTACTCATTCAGGAAAACCAAAAGCCACCTTGAAGGCCATCTGTTAGCTGAAAACATTTTTAGAGACACAGGAAATACAAGTACTTAAGTTAATTTTTTCTAAATATAAAGGCCCAGATTATTCCCGAAACCTAAGAGATCTGATATACTATCTTATGTTACTGGCATCACGAAAGCAACAGGAGGCCTGGCTGGAACCTGAGTGTTCCGGCCACAAACTAGAAACTGGGGATGCTGGGGAGACAGGGCTGGGCAGAAGCAGTCAGATAGATTTTATGCTTTATTCTTCTGCCCTTCCGATTATTCAGCACGACCTCCCTTCAAAATGACCACTTGACCTTTCCCACAAGAGCCATTAACCTTCCATAGTCTGTCGCGTAAACAGCTTAATTTTCTGACGGCAGCATGACAGAAGAAATTACAAAGGCAATTCCCACTCTCGGTCCAAACAGATGCCAAATGTAAATCACTCCATTTCCAGGAGGAGGACATTCTGCCCCAGTGCCTCCACCATCCTGCCTCCTTGGGGGCACCGTGCGGCCCCACGCTGGTGGAGGACGACCCCTTGCCGTCCACGCCCCCCACTCGGACAGGACAGCAGCTCTTCATGGGTCCTTGGGCTGTCCTGAGAAGCTGCTGACCTAGGCCCAAAAGCTCTCAGTTCCTGTCCCTCGTTTCCGAGCGCCCAACCCATAGCCCAAGTCAGAAGCCCCATAAGTCAGAGGCACCCCAATCGCTTGTTTTGTTTTTTTTAAGATTTTATTTATTTATTCATGAGAGACAGAGAGAGAGAGAGAGAGAGAGAGAGAGAGAGAGAGAGAGAGGCAGAGGGAGAAGCAGGCTCCCAAGGAGCAGGGAGCCTGATGCGGGACTCGATCCCAGGACCCTGGGATCATGACCTGAGCCGAAGGCAGACGCTTAACCATCTGAGCCACCCAGGCGCCCCCTAATCGCTTATTTGTAAAACCAACCCTTGCCTACTCTTGAATTTACTGCAGAATGACGAAGCTAAAAAGCAACTGATTCTGTTTCTTTTTCTTTTTCAACAATATATCTACTTTGACCACTACCCACAATCTGGAACGATAACATTTAACAATCAGGGACAATTTTAAAGAAAAAAGTTTTAACGTAAATGAGTTACAACAGAGCTTCTTAATTATGCTGTTCTCTAGTGAGGGGCTGGTGATCTTAGGGACCCCGAAGGACCAAGCCTGGAATGTAAGGGAGGTAAGCAGGCAGGTTCCATGGTTTGCAGTGCTCTACACCATAGAATGCTGTGAGGTCAGAAAGGGACTAGGAGGGTGAATTTTATGCGTCAACCTGACTGGGCCGAGGTGCCAGATATTTGGTCAAACATTATTCTGGATGTTTCTGTGAAGGTCTTTCTTGGGTGAAATTAACATTTAAATCAGTGGTCTCTGAGTAAACACATTGCCCTCCGTTCTGTGGTGGGCCTCATCTAATCAGTTGAAGGCACAAACAGAACAGTGTGACCTCCCTGAGCAAGAAGGAATCTGTCAGCAGAGAGCCTTCGGACTCGGACCATAGCTCTTCACTGCGTCTCCAGCCTGCCATCCTGCCCTGCAGATTTTGGACTCACCTAGCCTCTCTTGGTTCTGTTTCTGTGATGAATCCTGACTAATACAGGACACATTCTATTTGCATGATAAACACACTAGAATATTTTTAGTTCCTAAAAGAAAGCTATCCTCTCTTTCCCGAAATGTCTTCTGTTCGTCTGTTTTGACAGAGACATAGCCATGAAGAAATACCAGGAGAAAAACAACCAAAACAGCACACGTAAAGTGAGAGCAGACTCTGAGCTTGGTGAAGGGACAACAGCAGAAGTGGTGGGGTCTGAGGTCAGCTGGAATTAATGGAGGCAGTGGCCTCAGCTAAGCTTCCGGGTGTGGTGGAATGTGGGGCCCTGAACTATCAGATCTTCTGATTTTTTAAGAAGAATCCAGAAATCTGTATATTTTATATAAAATCTCCCATTTTTAAACACGCCCCCCCCACCCCAAATTTAAGATCTTGTGAGGGCCAAACATCTGCTCTCGAATGTAGCCTGGAAGTGACGGGATGTACTGGCCTGGGACCTTGGCTTACTTCACCTCCTTAGGCCTCGATAAGCCCACCTCCAAAATGGCGCTGCTACTGCCTACAGCTCGCAGGGTTGTGGTGGGAATGAAACAAAATGGAGTACATAAAGTGCTCAGCAATGGCGCTTGGACGAACAAAAGGTCCCTCCCTTGACTACTGCAATAGCCAGCCCCATCCTGCGTACACAGGGAGGGAGTTCCCGATCAGCAGAAGCACCCAAGCTGGGAAAGGCTTCCCCAGACACGGCCCCCAAATCCCTGCCAGGCACGAAAAGCTAGGGCAGGGCTCCAGAGGGTCCCTGCAACTTTAAGAGCCCGTGACTCAAATCCTAGCACCGCTTCTGGTGATGACAGAGTAAGTCTGCACAGCTTTCTGGAAAGCAACCTGGCAACGTGCATCGAGAGCCTCAGATACGCACATCATCCTAAACGTGAAGATGCTTATCTCGGCCTTACTCTGGCAGAAGATCAGAAACCACCTAATAATGTCCATCAGCAGGCATCGGTTTCAGAAACTACAGGATATCCTGTAAAAAGGTTACAGCAAAACTGTGCCACAGAGACATTTACCTATTGAGTTGAAAGTTGTTCACAAAGTATTATCTGGTGAACAACAATAACCCGGGTGACAAAACTAGGTCAGGTTTGATACTGATGCTCCGAGTACGTCCCTTTGTAATGATTTCTTTGCGCCAGAAACCACTTGGAAGGAAACACAGCACTGTGTTGACAGCTGTTAACCTGTGCAGTGGAATGGAAATATTTTCTGTTTTCTTCTTTTTGCTCATCTGTTTTCTCTAATTGAACTTCCACGAACATGCGCGGTCTTGGTGGTAAAAGATGTTGTGAAAAATAATCAACGTGGTTGGTTTGGGTTTTTCTAAAGAAACAGACAGCGAGGACTGTGCTAAAGACTCAGACAAAAATGCTGGTAACAAAATCAGGACTTTACAGAGACTGTGCTCTGCGGCCAGAGATGTGGAGCCTGGCCCAGAGCACCCCTCCAAGCCCTCGAACCTCCTCTCTACTACTTAGGTGTCCCCTAGATGATTCTTCAGTGCCTTGTGCTGTATTCTGTGCAAACACACCTAACCTTGGGACAGTGAGCACCTGCGCTCTGAGACCTCGACGGGGCCTCCGTCCGCAGTGACCCTCCCCGGCCCCAGCCTCTCCCAGCCCAGCATCCACACGGAAGCCTGACCAGCCAGCTCCCCCGAAGTCAGAGGATTCTCATTCCCTCACAAATTATTAAAAGAAAGGAAGGGTGAAGAAAAAAAGCAGGAAAAAAGCAGGGAGGGAAAAGGAAGGCAGCCTGTGCCCACCCCACACCCACTTTTCTGCACTGTGTACCGATTCTGTAAGCCAGAGACCCACAGAGCGTCGTCCAAAGCAGCCGGAAACACTCTTTCCTGAAGCTGACTTACCCTTTTCCCAGAGAGATGAGCACAGGCTTTTCCAGATCCATGAGCACCCGGAAGGCTTCATTCATGTTTTGGTAAGAAAAGCCTTCTCCGGCATCTGCAATGACCACACAGTTGGGGTTGGACGTGTCGATCTGATCAAATTCTGAGCGAACTCCTGGAAAGAGAAAGAGGGATAAAGCCCTGGGGAGACATGGCCTACGTCCCATCTCCTACCAGGGACACCTTCTGTCTGCCACGTGGGCCCTGCCCCTTTCTCAGACGCGCTTCCTGATCCTCCCAGCTGTACTGGAGGTGGCTAAGGAAGGGGTTTTACTCCCATTTTACAGATGAAGGAATTCCACTTCCCATAGTTAGGGTTCGTCAGGAGAAAGATGGGCCTGTCCCTGGGGCTCCCACCCTAACACTGGCATCACCCCAGGGGCTACTCAGTTCAATCCCCCAGGCAGGAAACCCATAGCTCTGCAAGGGAGAAGGGGCATTTGCCTGGAAGACACAGATTACCGGATGTCGGGTGAAATGAGGCTGCTGGCTACCTTTATAGGGTCGGTACTGCTGGACCCAAACTGTAAAGACCATCGAACGTTCTAGCCCAACCCCATGGAAGACAGGATAGCTGGGACATACAGACGTGCTGAAAGGAGTAGCAGCTGATCCCCCCGGCTCACCAATCCCCTTAGCAAAGCCTCTTCCTCCTTTGCCTTCTCTGTCCTCCCCTATTTTATTTTATTTTTAAAGACTTTATTTCTTTGTCAGAGAGAGAGAGAGAGCACAAGCAGGGGGAGCGGCAGGCAGAGCGAGAAGTAGACTCCCTGCGATGCGGGGCTCGATCTCAGAAGCCCCGGATCATGACCTGAGCCGGAGGCAGACGCTTAACTGACTGAGCCACCCAGGCGCCCCTGCCCGCCCCAATTTTAAATTAAAACTGAGAACACTGCAAAGGTTAAACTGAGCTGTCGGCCTTATGCCTTCAGTTCCTCGGACGAAACAGACTCTCACCTATCTTGGTATTAGATATTGACTTTGCTGGATTAAAAAATGGAAGTAACCACATGATATCACTTCCAACCTGCCAGAATAGCAAGAATTAAAAAGACGGACACTGCCAAGTGCGGGTGGGGAAGCAGAGCGGCTCTGAGAGCTGCCTGGCGGGAATGTGCAATGACACAGCCCTCTGGGGAAAGGCTAGCTGTTTCTGATAAAACTGAGCAGCCACCTACCGTCTGACCCAGCAATTCCACTCCTAGGTATTTACCCAAAAGAACTGCACAGAAACATTCGTAGCAGATTTCCTCCCTAATAGCCTAAAGTCGAAAACAGTCAGGTGTCCTTCAACAGGGGAATGGACAAAGCGTGGTATATTCACTTAATGGAATAGCACTCTGCAACAAAAAAGAAAAAAACCCTACTGATACCTGCAACCATACAGGTACATCTCAACAACAGTATGTTGGGGCTGCTCAGACCCCGCAGATTCCAAAGAAAGGTGGTCCTCAGGGCGCCTGGGTGGCTCAGTCGGTTAAGCATCTGCCTTCAGCTCAGGTCATGATCTCAGGGTCCTGGGATGGAGCCCCAGGTCGGGCTCTGCGCTCAGTGGGGAGTCTGCTTCTCCCCCTCCCTCTGCTCCTCCCCCTGCTCATGCTCTCGCACACGCTCCCTCTCTCTCAAATAAATAAAATCTTAAAAAAAAAAAAAAAAAAGAGAGAGAGTGTTTTTGTAAGCCTGAGGCCCTGGGAGGCCAGAGACTGAGTAGCCAAGGTGAGTCCATAGGCGCTGCGTGCCTACCTGACCAACCCCTACTCAAAACCCGACACAAGGCTCCAGTGAGCTTCTCTGGGTGATGACACGTTGCAGGTATGGTCACACATCTTGGATGGGAGAATTAAGTGCGTCTCAGGGCAACTCCACGGACGATGACCGCTGGAAGGTCACGCCCGGATTCTCCTGGAGTTCGCCCACACCTCTCCTCCCTTTGTCGAGTTCAATCCATGTTCTTTCACCGTGATAAACTATAACTGAGTCTGACAGCTTTTCTGGGCCCTGTGAGTCCTTCCAGCAAATCGTCAAGCTTGAAGGTGGTCTGGAGAGCCGCTAACACAACTAGATGCAGCATGATACTATTTATATAAAAACCTAAACGAGGCAAACTTATTCATGATGAAACAAATCAAAATAGCGGGTGCCTCCAAGAGGGTAGGGGATGGGGACTGACCAGACAGCACGTGAGGGAACTTTCAGGGTGCCGGTAAAGTTCTAGATCGTATCACAATAGGGGTTCGGGATACACAGACATGTGCACCTGTCAAAACTCAGCAGAAGTACACCTGAGATTTTTGCATTTCATTGTACATAAATTTTACATCAAAAGAAAGAAATGTAAACAGATGCTGAACTCTAGTTAATGATGTGCTGAAGTGTTTTGGAGATGTGTACCAATGTCTGCTATTTACCTTGAAATGCATCAAAAAGATAAAATAATGGGGCGCCTAGATGGCATAGTTGATTAAGCGTCTGACTCTTGATTCTGGCTCAGGTCATGATCTCAAGGTTGTGGGATCCAGCCCTGCGTTGGGCTCTGCGCTCAGCTCGGAGTCTGCTTAGAGTTCCTCTCTCCCTCTCCCTGCCCCTCCCCCCTGCCACACAAGCACTCTCTCCCTGTCTCTCTCATTCTCTCTCTCAAATAAATAAATAAATCTTAAGAAAAAAAAGATAAGATGAAAAGATGGACAGAAAGATGGGTAGACATAATGAAGAAAATACAGTAAAATGTCACTGGTAAAGTCAGGTGATGAGCATACAAATATTTCAAGTAGAAGTCCTTTAGCTTTGCTGTATGTTTGCAAATTTCATAAAAAAATGTTGGGGCGGGTGGAATTCATCAACAATAAAACTTGGAAAAAGATTCCAAGTCTGAAAACAGGCATATTTATGGAAAACAGACGCAGGAGCGCATCTGGCTTCCCCTCCAGCCTGCTCAAGCTCTAATATCGATTAATGCCCCCTTCAAGGCAAACACTGAATTTCCCTCCCCTTCCCAGCTCATTCCACCCCCATTCCTCCCTTTGCCCCACGGGTGGGGATTGTCTTTCTTAAGTTATTCTCTTTCTTTGAGGACCTGTTCTAAAGACACTGGCAGAGATCCCGGATCACAGAGGAAGGATTTTGAGAAAGAGGATTTCTAAAGGCTGGGCATATTGCCCTCAACTGGCTCCAGAGCTATGGATTTGACACTCAGGCCTTTCAGGGAGCACCCTCAACCTCTGGGGGGCCCCACTCCTGCCGGGAGGCAGAAAAGTATGCTTGCTTCTGCCAGTGGTTTGTAAATAAAAATACCCGGTGCGGGGAAAGAAAGAGGGCTCAGTGCAACGACAGGGAAGTGTCCTGAATTCTGAAGCAGTGCTTATGTTTCTTCTTTTTAAATATTCACAAGGCACCAGATAATACTGCTCCTTCCACTTCTTTCCAGAAAAACTCTCCACGGAGGGTCAAAAGGGCTCTTTCCTTGCATTCAGACAAAGATCAGGATGTAAACCTTGGGCCACTTGCCAGAAAGCAGGGCTGGTTTTCACAGATAGAGTTCAGGTTCAGGGTTGGGGAAGGGGGCAGGGGAGGCAGGGGGAGTGGAGGGGATGGGGGGTGGCAGACACAACCTATGGACTTCAATCTAGCCCTTCATCCTCCTTCCCTGCCTCCCCTGCACACCGCCCCACAAACCCTAGAAGCTAAAATTTTGCCCCTATGACAATTCCCTGCCCCCTTGGTCCATTCTAGATCAAAGAAATCAGGCTCAGGGTTTTCCTCCGCGAAAACCGTTCCATCCGGAACCTCCTCTAAAGATCCTCTGGTACTCAGCCAGGGATGGAACGGGCCTGGTCCCCAGCAGGAAGCCCACGAGGTTCCCACCCCACAGGCCCATGAGCCAAGTGTTCATGTCCTCCCCAGTGGTTTGGCCCAGGTCAGAGGGACACCGTCCCTCAGCCCCACCCGGAAAGGAGACACCTTGGCCCCCACCAAGCCCACGGCCCAGCAGGCCTACCATCATGAATAAGCAGGTGTGGCCGCAGGCCTCGCTCCTTCAGGATCAGGGAGGTGGCTGGGGCCGGGGAGGTGACCTCGCCCTCGGAAATGTCGAAGCCCTGGCGTTGAAGCAGCCCCACCAGGTCTCTCCGGGACTTCTGCGAATCATTGGTGCAGAACCTCACCTTCAGCTTCGAGAGCTTCAGTCTGGAAGTGGGAACACGACAGGCAGAGGGTGCTGTCAGCACTCGGAGCATGGGGCCTTCATGGAAGGTTACCTCCCAAGGGCAATCAGGACAGCCAGCAGGGGCTAGAACACCATGGCTCCCTGAGGCCGGCCTCGGCTGACCCCGGGGGTCTGGATGGGGTTGCTGAGCTGGAGCTGACCCCTTCCAGGGAACCCCGACCCTGCCCCACAAGCCTCCTTTCCATCCTCACTGAGCCTGTCGCCAGGGACATGTCCCCACTCCCTCCAGCTGGGACACGTCTCTGTCCCCACTCTCTCTGCCTGGGACACCCCCCACTTCATCTGAGACACATCTCCACACCCTTCACCTGGGACACATTTCCTTCACTCCTTCTACCTGGGACACATCTCCACTCCCTCTACCTGGGACACATCTCTGTTCCCTCTCCTGGGACATGTCCCTACTCCCTCCACCTGGGACACATTTCCCCTCCTTCTGCCTGGGACACGGTGCCTCTCTATACGTGCCAATTCTCCCACCTCCCAAGACCCACCAGATCTCTCCCCTCCACCACTCCATCCCACTTGGCCTGGCGAGAGGTCTCTCGTGAACGTCCTCAGCAATTTCTCTGGACCATTCCACCATGATCAGCATTTCCTCTCTGCATGTGAGCTACGTGTGCCTAACTAACTCCAGATTCATATTTCCCCTAAAGTGCAAAGGCTGAGGGACCAAGCTCAGGTGTGTCTTCTCATTGCTGTCACTGAAGAAAAGTTTGCCAGACCGTCATCAGGTACAGGGACGATTCCGGGATGGACACACAGGACCCAGGGAGCCCCTGCAAGCCCAGCGTTAACCTCAGTGCTGTGGCCGGCCAGTTGTACTCACATTCTTCTCTCCTGAGCTCCCAGGACACCTGCTGCATCCTGGCTGTGCTTGGGCAGGGTCTTGGAATACAGAGCCACAAGGTGGACACCTAAAGAGGTCCCAAATGCAATAACATCCAACCCTCCCACAAATAGTTACTGAGCACCTACTAAGTGCCTGGCTGGGGGCCAGCGCACAGAACTGTAACCTTGACCACAGGCAGGCTCCCAGCTGGAGCCACAGGCCCGGCGGGTGGGAGAGAAACTTCGCAAAGCAAGAGGGATTTGTGATTGTGAACAGGGAGGTGCTCTGAAGGACTGGAACAGGATGAAGAGACAGATGCAGGCCAGGAGGCAAAGAAACAGCACCCAGCAGAGGGAAGAATGGACTCGGGCTGCACAGGAAAAGAGGCTGGCACGGCTGAGCCCACAAGTAAGGGGTCCAATGTGATGGCGGATGTCCCCGCGGGCCCGGGCCCAGAACACACAGCCCTCCCTGGACAAGCCACAGCAAGACGGCAGTCCTACTCAGCATCTGCGCAGAGCCGCAGCGTGGGGTCGTGAAAAAGACACCAGGCTACAAGCCAGGAGGCCTGGGAAACCCTAGGAAAATTAACCGAGGGCACTAATCGCTACCCCACACTGTTCGTAAACAGGTCTCTAAACACATCCATGTCAGTGGTCTCCAAACGCGCAGGAAGACATGTTTACTTTTCAGCCATCCTTTCAAGTTTTACACTTTTTGGAATGTAAATTGTATTAACATTTGATCCAGTGTTAAATGCATAATTTATCATTTAGTATTTATCAATACACATGTACGAGAGATAAGTGCTCCAATTTTGTGCTCACGTGCAGAGATAACACAAAGAGTAGACCCAGTTACTCATAACTATGGACATGCAATCAACCTCCATTTGGGCAAATAAGTGAGACCCCCCAACTAAAAACTCTATCTCAACCCTAGCGGTAACATACTTTTATTCTGCCTTACAAGTGAGGACATTGAATCTCAGAAGGTCAAGTACCTTCTGTTTCTCTTCCTGGATCTGAGGCGCTAGGGATATGTGCTAATTCCTACTTGACCCCAATACGGATCCTGGAACTGATATGGAGTCAGCACCATAGCTACCCTCCAAAGCCAAAGGCGGGGAAAGGTGTCATCCCAGGATGGGGTCTCGGAAAAGACTTCCCTGAAGAGCCAGGTCCAACGGGAATCGTGCAGAGCTGACAAGATGGCCAGGGAAGGGTGGGCGGAGCAGAGAGAGGAGCAGGTGCAGGGTAGGCCCCGCCCTCCTAGGACCTGGTCAGGTTCAGAATCTTCCAGCAGCCTTGGGTATATGGAAGCTGAGCCAGAAAATGAGGCTGGAGAGGAGTGTCACTGAGCGGGCAGGGATGCCTCAGGCAATCTGTTCCATCCCGGGATGGAGGGAGCTCCACATGCAACGCTCCTTGGCGATAACAGAACTGGGAAAAGGTGGCAGGCCTGTCCAATGTCCCCCTCTCCACCCTGTGTGACGCTGTCCTTATCCTACCTCTGGCTTTATTTTTCTTTCTTTAAACGTTCACCAATATCTCCAATCATCTGACTTATATCTTTGTTTACTGTCTCTCTTCCAGACCTACGTGCTCCATGACATCAGCAATGACGTCTGGTCCATGCTCCTCGGCATCCCTGCTTCACACAGGGCTGGAACACAGCAGGCTCCCATTTGCTGAATGACTGAGTGATGGAAAATCCAAATGACAGCCCGTGAGAGGGACCCTTCCTTAGAACCACACCGACCACACAACCTACTGCGGTACCCCAGGGTGTCCCAAGCCTGCAGCCCCGTCGGAAACAGGCAGGTGCTCCCACATTATGACGAGCCTCCTGACCCTCCATGCACTGGAGCTGACAGGTGCCACTTGAAAAGAAATCTGTAAATCGACCAACAACAGAGCGAACACACACCTCGAGGCTAACCATGTCTTAATCAACAGCCCAGGTGGTTCAGTCCTTTCTTAATATTTGTCTTTCCTAATCAGAGGGTTATGAATGATCAATTACGCCTAGTGGTTAATTGCCCTTCATAAAGACAGCTTTTGTATTTTTTAAATTAGGCAGTTAATATGTTGTAACTAATAGCATCACCTTGTGCATTATGGACAGATCTTCATTGATTGGCGCCTGGAATGTGTGATTCGCACCCAAGTTAATGGAGCAGTTGAGTGAAGAAGTGCAGGGGTGTCAGGGGACTAATTATTGCTAATGAATTATGATGTGACCTTCTCAGAACAGTGAACAATCGGTGTGACAGTGCCTCACATCTGCTATTCAGGACGCGACTTCAAATGCCGGTGACAAATGAGTAAATAACACAACTCACTTCGGAACACTTCAGCCACGGGTCTCCTCTGAAATACCCACCGAAGTTCATAAAACATATGCTTTAAAATCAAAGTACTGGTTTTAGGATCAAATCAGTCCCTGAAAAAAATCTAGTGCAAAATGTTTGGCAAGTCCCCTCCCTGTGGGTCTGTTCATCCTTCCCACCCCCCTACCGACAGCACCCCCTTTCCGAGCATTTGGGACAAGTCCCAGGTCCCCTCTCTGTTTCTCGTAATCACTGAAATAATAAAAGTGTGGGTTATTAACAGAGTAAAGCACGAATACAGCGTTACACTGAGCCCTGCCTCAGGGCTCAGTTTCTATGATCTGATTTGGCCCAGAACCACATGCCTTATTCCCTACGTATGTCCCCGGGCTGGGCGTCTGGTGTGCAGGCAGCACTGAGTACGAGCTGACTGAGCAATGCGCCAAGAGACCAGAACCACTGTCCCCATTCTAGAGATGACAAAGCGGAGGCTCTGAGGGGCAGAGACCAATAAAGTCGGACAGCTTGTAAGCAGCAGAGCCCACAGGCTGTGAACCGACCCCGCGGGGGCAGCTACGCGCTGGCGAGTGCAGGCCTGCATGTTTCCAATAAGGGGAGCGCGGCACCCCCAGGCAAGACCCAGCAGCCCAGGTGCATGCGAGGGGGGGGGGGTAGGCACTCGTGGACTGAGCTGTGTCCCGCCCCCCCCAACAGATCCCTATGTCGAAGCCCTAAGGAAGTAATGAGGGCTAAGTGAGGTCATAAAGGTGGGGTTATGAGAGGATAGGGATTAGTGTCCTTTTCTGACAGAGATCTCTCTCCGCTGCGCAAAGAGACAATGTGAGGACAGCGGGCCCCAGAAGCCAGGAAGAGAACTTTTACCAGAAATGGACCCTGCTGGCACCAGATCTGGGCTCCCCGATAAACGTCTGCTGTTAGTCCCCCCGGCCTGTGGTTTTCTGTTGCGGCAGTGCAAACAGACGAGACAGCCAGAGAACCAAATCCTCAGCATCTCCTGGTGGGTCTGCTGCAGATGTCACAGATTTGGCCTCAGGGGCCCAGGACTGCAAGGCTTCAGAACGTCAGGAAAGCCCCAGCGCGGCCTGGCCTCGGACTTCAGCATAGCCTGCCTGCATCTTCCCAGGAAAACAAATGTAAAGGATTTCAGCTTCAGGCTGGGCCCAGCTCCAGACCAGGCTGTGTTCTCCCCACTCCACCAAAACTCAAAAAGGCCGGAACCGGTGTCCTCCGGCAGGGCCCTGGCACCCCAGAGTGGGGCTCGGCCCAGACTGCCCCTGAGACACCAGCCCCCACCTCAGCCCGCTGCCCCCTCCCCGGGAGTCCCACGAGAGTTGGAGTTGCCCCCACTTCCTGCAGCCATACCGGAGTTTTGAACTGACCTTTACCTCATCCCGGCAGGCCAGGACAAGCCTCTGAGTGACAACGTCGCCTGGTGCAATTATTGTGCATCACATGAACTGGTCCCTTGCAAATCACCTCGGACCTCACACATCTGCTGGCTGTCGGCATCTGCCAGGGGCACTCACCCGAAAATAATGGAAACCCTCTCATTATGGCTCGGTAGCAGGTAGAGCACTAGGGTGATTACTGGACATCCTGCCCGACCTTGGCAGAGCTCCACAGCCCGCTGCCCTCTCTGGCTCGCCACAGAGGGGCTGGGAGGGGAGGCCACCCAAGGCGGGCAAGAAGGCTGCCCCAGACAAGGCCCTCCTGACTGGGCCCATCCTCCCTCCTCACTCCCCCCCCCACCCCGCCCTTGGGAAGCTGTCACCTTC